TTTCTTTGTGGGGAGCAAATGCGGCCTTGAGAAAAAAAAAAAAAAAAAAAAAAAAAAAAAAACATAGATTAGATCAGCAGTCAAGACTTCTGCACTTTCTGCCTCAGTGAGCAAGTTCCCAGGGGCCAGAGCCATTTATTCTGCACCTAGAATAGACTGGAGCCATGGAGCATTTTCTGCGACTTAGAGACATGATTCTATTTTCAATAGTAGCATTTTGTACGTATGATCTGACATGACCTTTACTTTCCCCAAAAGACTTCCAAAATATATCCAATGGGATGAAATACATAAATAAGGAACTCTAGATGTTAAAAATAAACTGCCTATGGGAACTAGTATAGAAGGGGTTATACTAGCACACGAAATGTTTGCCACCAAGTCCCACTGCATTTGCTCCAGGTAGCGAGCCAGTCAACCGAACCCCCTCGTGATGGAAGCAAAAGAAAGCACAACTAGTGACAAGGCCGCAGAGCCCCACACAGCCCTAGTGCAGGGTCTGATGGCCACTTCTTCAGCAGGGCCTCATAAGTGGCCAGCACATCTACATTTTCCATTGCACGACTTCATGTGCTATTGTACAAGCAATCGTACAACTTCTTGAGTTTTTCTCTTATGATATCCTTCAAGGCCAAGAGCTGTTTCACCGAGGTAAAGGAGAGGTCTTGTCTTGTTCCTGCTGCTCTGTCATTGCTAACTCGGCCTTCCTTTTAATTAGCCTGCCTTGGGCCCAGCACTTACCTGCTGCACTCCTACCTTGTTTCCCTGTGGGCCTGCTTATCTCGGAGTAGCCAGGGTACAAGCCAAGGTGAGACCCAAGAGTGGCTGGCCCGGGTCACGTGGAGCACAGGGCAGCCAGCCAGCCCCACCAGCAGGTTCTGAGTGTCCTGTGCAAGGCGAGTGGAGACCCTGTTCCAGCCTCCCCTCCTCCAGTTTGTGCCAGTAGTACTAAAGGGATTGAAAACACCAGGTGTCAGGGCCGTTTTCCATTGTTAAGGCCCTCAGAGATGTAATTATACCTTGTCTTCTCTTACTTGGTTTGAGCTAGGGTTGCAAATCCAGATCGTCTTTACCTTGGAAACTCCCCTGCGTATCCTACTTAGAGTCTGCCGGAAGTTGTACTGTTCCACACACATTCTCTCCAAGAATGTGTTCATTTTTCCTACCAAATAATATTGAAGAAAAACATTTTTTAAATGATGGCAAGGCAGGTTTAAACCTTCTCAGATTACAGAGGGATCCCCTCCTGTGTCTAGAAAACCCAGAGAAATGAGTCTAAGAGAATTAAAGGGACGCTCTCGGGGCCCTCCCTTCGCTTCTCTCTGCAGTCACCCTGCCCTGGTCACAAGTTCCATCGAACTTTCCTCCTCAGCCCACCTCCCTCACTGGGGCCGACCAGGCCCGGGCTGGTCCTGAAGCCAGATCCACCTGGCCTGTACTCAGGGTGCCAGGTGGGATGCCGCAAGGCCTTGCACCTCCTCTTCATTGACAGCGGCTTTCTGGATCTTACAACAGATCCCTCTCCCTAAGTGGGAGGTGGAGCCATGTAAGGATCACACACTGGCCGCCATGATGGGTTTCAAGTGTGGCGCTTGTTTCCCTTCTGTTAGCCCTTCGAAGGTTTTATCCCTGCAGGCGCTGAAGACTCGGAGCATAACGGGGGCCAGCTGGTGGCCTGGTGGTTAAGGCGCTGGATCCCACAGGGCCACCTGCATGATTCCTGGACCCGGCAGCTTGGGGAACACGCTGTGCACGTGTGCAGGTGTGCCCAAATTCCCGAGAGGAGAAGTGGAAGAGAGGGGGTTGGGATGTGGCCATCCTCCACGTGGGGTGCTTTCTCGCTTTCCTCCTTTCTGTGTCTCTCTCCACAAGTGCACAGCCTCTGGCAAATTGGGAACAAAACAACAACCGAAATTGTTTCTAGAAGACAAATTAAATTTACATAACCTCTTAAAGTTTATATATGTGTGTGGTGCTTTTTAAAAGTCAGGTCCTTCTTGAGGCAAAAAATGTAAAAATGAGCGTGACAGCACCTTTTTCACAGAGTGGTTTTTTTTTTTTTTTTTGAGAGATTTTCACTGTAGGGCGCGTGCGCTCGCCAGACAGACAGAGAGAGACATAGAGACAGAAAGCGAGAAATCACCCCCCAGGGGGGATGGTCACGCCGCAATCCCTTCTCCTCCATTCTCCTCTCGGGATCTTGGGCACGCACGCACACGCGCCCGGCGTGAGTTTTAAGCCACCGGGTCCGGGACACGAACCGCGGTCGACTACGTGGGAGTCCAGCGACATAGCCATTACGCTAACTGCTGGTTCCCTTTCACAGAGTGGTTTTGAAGAGAGTGCCTTTCTCACAGAGAGGACTCAGGGAGCTCGCGCATGGAGAACAGCACAGAATGCCCGATGTGTAGCGACTGTTCTTAGTGGGGTTATTTGCCCCACGTCCCCCTGTTTGTCCTCTCTGTTCCTGAACTTGTCCACATCCTGGACACAGCTCTGGCGCTACTCCTGCAGGCCCTGTCTGGAGTGAGCACGTGTCTTCGGGCCCCCCTGCAGCCCCCGCAGTCCCGCAGCCTCACCCAGCCCGCGTTCTGTGAACGGCACCAGAACCCTTCTGCGAGCTGTGTTGGGTTGATGGCCAGTGACCTTCCCATTCATGTCAGGGGCGTTCATAATGCAGGACAAAGAAAGGTCTTTTGACTAGTCGTACACGTAAACATGCAAACTCTCCTCCATCCACTGTTAGCTCAGGCTGAGTCGTAATCACACCTACATACGCCAGCCCCTGTGTGGGGCCAGGCAGACGAAGATGCCGTGTATCAGCTCCTCTCATGTAATTTTCAGGAACCTCATCAGTAAGCATTGTCCCCTCGCAGGTGAGGCTCAGAACCTGGCGTGACTTGCCTAAGGTCACACAGCAGGTCAGGGTCTAGAAGTGTTCAGACTCACCTGTGCTCCGACGCTGTGGCCGTCTTCCCCGGAGCCCCGGCTGTCTAGGTACCACGTGGATCGGCCCTGCGAGAGCAGCACTCCGTGTTGGCACTCTCCAGCATGATAGCGCGTGGGACAGAATGGGACTGCCGGAAGAGCACAGCAGGTGGATCTGCAACCCCACGGCAGCTCCCAGCCTTACGTGTGACGTGCTTCTTCCCCTCCAGGCGCTCCGCGCCACCACCATGCAGGGGGATCTTGGCTGCCCATGTTAGGGGTAGCCCGGGCCAGCCCGGCAGCCCCACACGAGGATGGAGCGCAGCGTGCCCGGTGCTCGTTAGTGTGCAGTGGGTCTCTGGCTCCTTGCAGGCGGCATGGATTTTCTTGGAGAATGAGGAAGCGCCACGTCCTGCCTCACTGCGGGTATGGGGCGAGTTCAGAGGCCACGCGTGCATGGAGAACATGGTGTCTTGATCTTACTGTTTTTTGTTTCTCAGGCAACTTCAGAGCCCGTTCTGGATCCACAGCAAATCCAAGCCTTTGATCAGCTTTGCCGTCTCTACCGAGGAAGTTCCAGGGTAATGTCTGGGTGTATTATTTATCATGTATTGTTTTGGAATCCTTGAATGTCCTCAGATCCTCCCTCTAGCCACCCCCTTAGGCTGTAAGGTACTCCGCCAAGCCCATGTGCCCAACCAGCCGTGGCCCCGGGGTGCACTCGGAACTTGGCGGTGGGGCAGAGGACGTGGAGACACCTTGTGCCTTGGGTACCGTGGGCTGTGAGGGTGCACGAGCACTTCCGAGCCTGACCCCTCACCAGAGGCCTTTTGTTCATCTTGATGGCTGCCAAACCTGTCCCAATCCTCACGGCTGAATCTGTTTAGACCATGAAAAACACATGCAAAGTAATAGTGGCTTCAACAAGGTAGGAGTGTGAGCACAGATGGCCAGGGAAGGTTTCCTGACCTCCCTCCAGATTTCCCCTCGTGGCTCTGCCACCCTTAACGTGTACTTGCTGTTTATGCGGTTCAAGGTTCAGCGTGGGTGCAGCAGCTCTGACCATCGCATCTGCGTTCCACCCAGCAAAATGGATGGAAAGGGGAGAACCTAAGCCTTCTCTTTGAGGACATTACTAGAAGTTGGAATTTTTTCCACTTTCCCACTTAACCTCCATCGTCCAGAGCCTCGGCCTACAGCCGCACCCACCTGCAGTGGACACTGGGAACATTGGTCTTTATGCCAAGAAGCTGAGGGTTGCAGCTCTTGTAGAAGAGCAGGGCCGATCTGGAGGGCTGCTGGAAGCCACTGCCGGCACGCCCATCTGTGTCCCACAGGCACTCCACAATTCCCCTGGGAGCTTTCTCAGCCTGTCCTTCCTTACCAGTGCCACCTTGGCAACGGCACCCTCTCCTCCTGTCACCCGGGGCAGTGACCTGGCAGCTCCATGGGCTCCCTCCCTCCTCCTCCACCCACTGGGAAGGTCTTATGGGCACCTTCTCTACCTTTCCCTTCCTCTTCAAACTGGCAGGCCCCCTTGTCACTCACAGAGGCCACTGTGTGCCTTCTGATTGGTTAGAAACTCTCCTGTCCCTTCATGCCACTGCCTGGGTACTCTTTCCAAACCCAGAGGTGCCCTGCTATCCTCGCTGAAAACACATGCGGGATCCCCACCACCTCAAGGATGGCGTGCAGGGACCAGCAGTCAGTATAACGGCTATGTCGCTGGACTCCCAAGTAGTGGACCGTGGTTCAAGTCCCGAACCCATGGCTTAAACTCACGCCAGGTGCGTGTGCATGCATGCCCAAGATCCTGAAAAGAGAAAGGAGAAGGGATTGCGCGGTGGCCATCCCCCTGGGTAGTGAGTTCTCACTTTCTGTCTCTCTGTCTCTCTCTCTTTCTGGCAAGCGCACACACCCTGTAGCAAAAACCTCTCAAAAAAAAGGATGGCGTGCAGACTCTCCCAACGCCGCCACTCCCCACGTCACACCCATCCCCGCTTATTCTGAGCTCGTGCAAGCTGCACGTACGCTCCACTTCCAGGCCTGGGCGCCCTTCTCCCACTCCCCACTCTCGGGCCAACAGCTGCTAGGCCACATGGTGCCCCAAGGAAAAAGTGTTCCCTCATTGAGATCTGACCTGGGCCGAGGTTTCTATCCCAGGAGACCTCTCTGTGTCTCTGGGACGTGGTCCGGCAGCCTCGTCGAACTGGTGTTACCACTATCCTTCCCACCCTCAGCCAGGCCCTGCCCCAGCAGGTGGGTTTCTGGGGCCCGTCTGGCACCTCCTTTCAAGTCACCCAGAGCAGAGAACCTGCATCTTCCTGGACTCATCCCTCCCAGAAGCTTTGTTCCAAACTGCTGAGGCATTTGCTCAGGGCCCGCTGGTTTCCAGATCACTAAGCCACGGAGGGAGAACACAAAAATCTCTCCTGGGAAATATAAAATGGCCTTTTAAAAATGTTTTGGCTGATCGCCCTCCCTCACAGTGTCTAAACGTGAAAGCCCTCTGCGTTTAGCACCTGTTAGAGGGCTGTGTGTAGTAGTCCCTGCCGAGATCGTCACAGCCGGCGGGCAGTGGCACGTGGGGCACGGGCCAAGCAAGGAGCACCCTACTGCGCGGACCTCCAAAGTCCCCAGCTAGCCACCGAGCGAGCCTGCCTTGTGGGTGTCCTTGGCCAGTAACACCCCTTGCAGCCGCAGCCTCGGAATCAGAGCTTCAGAACTTGGGTTAGACCAGACACATCTCAGAGTTGGGACCTGGGACTTTTTCATTTTTGCTATCAGGGTGTGCACTTGCCAGAGGGGAGAGAGGGAAAGTGGGAAAGCACCCACCGGTGGGATGGCCACATCGCAGTTCCCTTCGCCTTCATTCTCCTCTCAGGTTTGGGGCATGCACACACACCACACGTGCCCCTACACACGCACCTGGCATGTTTTTCAAGCTACTGGATTTAGGACTTGAACTATGCAGTTGGCCATGTGGGATTCAGCTGCCGTAACCTCCACACCACTCGCTGGGCCCGCACTTTT